CGCTTTAGACAACAATGTTGGGTTGTTATTGTTATCCTCACTTCCGGTCCATCAATACTCTTACATATAGAATGGACTATACGCTTGTTTACGTTGGTACCCCAAGCAATTGTTTCCTTTATAATATTCAATTAAATGTTGTCGTGACGGTAAGGAGCACAGAGGGGAGGGGGGTAGCGAAAACCTCCAAATGTTGCTGAATTCGTAAATATCGGAAACGCAAATAGTGACGTCATTGTAAGAGCAACCGTACCAGTCGTTGCCATTTGCGGCACTATTTTACTTACGCACAGCGTTTCCATTTTGACTTAATCACTCCTCTCCACACCGGTCGTTGCCATCAGAGTCATAATTTAAGTTACCGTTTTCCACACCGGCAAAACAAACTTTTGACGTTTATTCAAAATAGCAATAGACTGATGCGTTGCTACCGGGTTGCTAAATTTATGAACTCACTACTTCCCAAGGTGCGGATTGCTATTTCCCCACCTGAATAGCAACCCCCGGTACGCAAGTAGCGTTATGGTAGAGGTTGGTAAATGTGCCTTATTTACTCATTGGTACGGTTGCTCTAAGGAGCGATGTTCGTTAAATTCTCCACGCAGTCTGGGGTAAGAGTAAATCGTTTTTAGATGTCAATACAATTACAAAATCTAAAACCTATTTTTTAAGATCGAAAATATCGAAAGAAGCGATCGATTTGTTCGATCATTTCGTGGAAATTACCTTCAATGAAATCAGTTAAACCTCTTTTTATACGAACAATATTTAGTGGGACTGTATGCCGCGAAATTTGCTATGGAGTAGGAAATTCTACGCATGTCAGTCCCACTAGGAACTGTTACTTTCCGTGTTGGCCACGTTGCGTTTGATGTCTTTACTCGTGTGTTTGCATGAGCGTGTTTGCGTCTTCCGCGATGTTTTAGAAGTTCCTGAATAGTTTACATAGGTTCGCATCGTTAAATGATACGAATAATAAGTGTGTTGACATTGCTGTAATCGTCTTCTGCTAGTTTTGGCATTAGGACCATTTCAACGAAGACAACATATCAAGAAGACTGGCAACTCTTCCATTTTCTCAAACGACCTGTATGAGACAGGCACAATCGCGTCATCTGCCGCTCAAAGGTAAATGCTCCGAACGAATTGGATAGAAAAGGTACCATCCTCAGAAGAAAGGTTTGTGTATTTGCTACTGTGTCTGTCGCTCAGATTCAGGCAAAGTTGCCAGTCTTCTTTATACGTTGTCTTCGATTTTAACCAAAATGGTAATTATTATGTTTTACCTGCTCTGCGTATAATCCCATATCAGACCCATTTGGAAAAAGTAGGCACTGAGAAAATGACATTCGAAGTTACGAAGTGCAATTACCATGTAAATATTTGAAAAATCACAGTAAATTTATTTATATTTTTTTGGAGTTATAATCTGTTGCAATTAAGCTTGCATGTTTTGTTAGATCAGCCAAAAATATGACAATTAAAAAAGCAGAACTGTAACTTGACTTTTGGACGATTGAATTTCTGGATGGGACTGATATGCAATTACTTTGCTTGATGGGACAAACTGACTTGAAATTCTTTTCACATTTTTCATGATCGAAGTTCTTAGTTTTATCACATAATATGGAAGTAGACGCCAGATGATAGTGGATAGTGTTGTTAACTCAAAATTTCAAAAAATCCATATGAGACTGATATACGATTATAGGCAGGCTGCTGTCACTGACTCTCTCCTCACACTTTCCACTGGTTTCCACTATTAATTTATGTTTTCACGTGGGTTTACTTTTCAAATTAAATTTAGCTTTTGCTGGTGGTCTTACGATCAGTGATTATTAATTTGAAAGTTGAGTGAGTCATTGGGTCACTACTCTTGGCTGTCGGCCAGTGACCCGGGCCATTCGTCGTTCATCGCCAGTTTGTCGTGCCCGTTATCCTCCATTCATCGCCACTTCTCAGGCCTTGTTCTCAGGCAGTTGTTCGTCCATCTGGTGGTAGGTTTTGCAATTTGCGGTGCAGTGAATTGTTGCGTTCTACGGTAAGCTGTCCTATCTTTGCCTACTAGGGAGTTTGACGATGGAGAAAACTGCACAACACTCACGCACGAACACTACCTGCGATTATTTTTCTACAATATAACGAAACTAGCACTTACAAATGTTTTATCATCTTGATTAAGTTTAATGTTTTCTGAACTAGTTCAAGCATATATAAACTTCTTGTTGGTCGCCGGTCATCATCGTGTAGTAAAACTATTCAGTTTGGATATTAAACCAATAATGTGAGTTTATTGTGAATCAAACTTAAAGCTAACCTTCTTTAATCTAGTACTACTTCAAGTTTTTCCTAGCTGGTGGGAGAATCCTGGAACAACCATTTACTAATTAACCAATCAAGAGAAAGCAAAACTTAAAGACAAATACCAATACGTGTACGTGATCACGATACTGGTACGTTCAAACTATGCGCTGTTGGGTTAGATCAGGAGTAAAAAGGAAAGAATATAAATGCATAGCGCATTGGGTGGTTTTTTTTTATGGAATTTGATGCCATGAGACCGTTTGTCGAATGGTGCAACATGGATAACAATTATGAGTCGACACTTTGGTGCCTGGGAACACAAGTGCATCGGTCTGATTGCAACACTTGTGTGATATGGAAATAATCGATTAGCTGTGAATTGACATGACCCAGATTTGTTTGTGGGAACATGCCTTGTAAGGAAATATGAATAAGCGCATCCAACTTGCGCGTGGTAATGTTCAATGAATTTTCAAGAGTTTCAAGAGGATTGTAAATTTCGTTGGAAAACATTAAGATCACTGATTTATAATCTTGGGAAAATCTGTTACAGTACACATATAAATATTAGAGTGGGTCATCGTTATATGAAAAAACGCAAACTTTAATTCACCAATTGAGAACAACCCTTTTTTGGTTCCATTTGGGGTCCCAAACAACTGTGCAAAATTTGGGGACGATATGTTGTAACCCGGCTTTCCGCATTGCGTTTGAAATTTGTATGGAAATTAGCATGGGAAAACCAGCTTTTTTGCATTTTTATCCCTAGACACCACAATTTTGCTTAAACCGTGCAACTAAGTATTTACAAATATAGTCCAGGAAGTGCCAAACAACTAAAAAAAGTTTAATTATTCAAATATTTATGGTTTGAATTAAACACGAAAAATCAATTTTTCTGCCAACACTGCCGGTGTACCAACGAGTGTCAGATTCCAAACTGAAATAATGTCGGAGTTTCTTATCTTACCAATTTGGTATGTTCAGATGAATTATTCAAAAACAATTGCTCTATCTCATATGTGTGGTTGAAGAGGGGGAGGGGGGGGGGGTTAAATAGTATACCCCGTCCGTCTCACTCACATCAGTAGTTCCAAACTGAAATATCTTTGGAGTTTCTTATCTTATCGATTTGGTATGTTTAGGATGAATTATTCAAAAACATTTGCTCAATCTCATAAGCGTTGTTAGAGAGCGGGAAGGGGGAGGGCTTACTATATGCAGTTTTTAAAACGAAAATTGTTGTAGTGTAGATATTTAACATCTACTTGTCCGTTCAGATGTTGTTTGAATTATTAGCAGCTGGAATTTTTTTAATTTCTATACAAAGCTTTTATTTCAAATATTAAACTGCCATTCGAGCTACCCGCATATATGTAGAAAACACAGAAGTAGTCGTCGAAGTGCTCCTAGCGAATCCCCTTTTTCTACGTGTATCCGTAGAACGAAGAAAATCTAATGGCGTTTCAATGCGTTTGGACGGAATTGAAACTCGTAGGACGAATTTAGAATCAAGAAGCAGTATTAGATTTTACCCTCCCCATGGCTAGAATTAGGATGGGGGGGGGGGTCCGCTTAGGGAGGCAACTAACCTTTAAAGTTGTAAAATAAATCTTCCTATTTAGTCTTGAACCTCAATAAGAAAACGCAAGCAAACCAATAGCATTTAGCAAATTGATAAGGAGAGGAATAGTTTAAGAAATAAGTAAAAGTAGAGGTATGTGACAATTATTAACTTTTAATCTTTTGTAGGTATTGTTTTTCCCTGAGTTTATTGCACTCGATAATACGCGAAATCTCTGATATATGCGGTTAAAAATTTTGAGTTAACTTATTTCTTAGTGTTCAAGTACTTACATTTGTAAATAGCAGTTACTAAACCCTACGTAAGTGTAAAATCGATATTTTCTTATGTGGTATTGGCGCCACATGTTTAACTTTTCGCGGCTGTCGGATTCAACGCGCTTACGTCTACGGAGCTTACGCAGAAGTGATTCGCAATTCGGTAGAGCTTGCCATAAGTGTTTTGAGCTTATGTAGTATAGAATTTGTTCGGTACGGTCGCGAAATCTTGAAATGATTGATACGTTCTTTATACAAATCTCAGTAGTAAATAAGTAGAATATCTAGGGAGGAAACCAAAATTAATCAACTTGCCAACTTGGCACTCTTTAAATGATAATAAGCTTTTTTCTAGCTTCGGTTGTCTCGCACGGCTTTCGGAATTCGCGCGGTTTTCGTAACTTTCATTATTTAGATATTTCGTTCGAAACGGATTTACTTATTCAATCGGTTTACTATGCGGATGTATCTACGCGCACATGTCACAGCATTTTCCATAACTATCTTGAAACAATACACACGGAATCCAGTGTTCAAGCTGCCAACATAGCCTAGTCCTTCTGCTGTATTGTCAAAGATATAAGCAAAATTTATTCAAATGGGTCAAGTCTTGAAAACTAAGCTGTCACGCAGCTCCAGCTTTATACCCAATAAAAAAAAATAAAATAAAATAAAATATCTAAATGCTGTAGGTCGTAGAACAGGGTCTATTGGTATTGCAATTGACTTGGTGCATAGGGACAGTGATATTTCACTGGCGATCTGGTCCTATGACCCCCCATCTGTGCTTGAAATCGAATGGGCGACATTTCCGTCACTAAATGTAATACCACTTCCCTCCCCTTCTTCCACAGTGTCATGGACATGCTGCGCTTCCACAAGTTCACCATCGGCCGGGCCTGGGTCTCCGATTACGGCGACATCGACGCGAAGGAGCACTTCGAGAACCTTTACAACTACTCGCCAATGCACAACGTTCACACACCAAAGTCCGAAAAGGAACAGTATCCGGCCACGCTGGTCCTGACGGCCGACCACGACGACCGGGTCAGTCCGCTGCACTCGCTCAAGTTCGTGGCCGCTCTGCATCACGCCATCAAAGACTCCGAGTTCCAGACGAACCCACTGCTGTTGCGCGTCTACAGCAAAGCCGGCCACGGTATGGGCAAACCGACGGCGAAGAAGATCGAGGAAGCCACCGACATCCTGACGTTCATGTACAAGACGCTGAAGCTCAAGCTGAACGCCTGAAGGTCGTCCGGTCGTAGGTCGGAATTGAACGATTAAATATTATTATGATTGTTAGCTTTTGTATGGCCATCTTCTTTTTTGTTTTCACTTTTTATATACCTAGTAGATTAGTACGGTTTGTATTCTTGTTTAGTTGACGTAGTCATCGGCAGTATCGGATTGAATGAATGAAACTTATGGAAAATGAGAAGAGATTCAGGTAATTTGTAGCTTTTTATAATTGCATGAAGAATATTTGAATAAATATTACTTGAACGAATTTTGATGAGTGTTATGCATAATGGATTAAAGAATATCACTTCGGTCGTTAGACTGCACGGTACAATCTACGTACGGTGGGGGTGGTGTTTCACGGGCAGCTGTGCTGATTGGATCCGCCGAATCTAGTTGTGGCACTATTGCTTCGTAGACGGATACCGTTGGCGACTGCCTTGGCTCGCTGATTCCGTAGTAATTCCAGGTGGACTGTTCTGAAGATTGGCGACTTTCATCATTAGCTCTGAGTATGGGTTCCTGTTCGTGATCATTCGAGTTGGTCGGTTGTGTAACCGGTGTCTGTTGCCAAATGAAACTGTTACTCGAGTGAGCGGCCGGACTCCGCGGGGCAGGCATATGCACACGGTCTCGAATCGGGGTTGGTGGCATGTAGCGATTATGCAGGTTGGAAATCTGTGAATTGCTCCGCACGTAACGGGGTTGTCGTTTGGAGAAGAGGTTCACCAAGAACTGGCGGGTGTTTTCGTGATTACAGTAGATTTGAGACTGATCCTGGGATGATATACTGCTGACGGTCTGTCGATTGGCTCGTTGTGGCGTGGGAGACTCGTTCAGGCGTGTATCTACAAAACGGGAAGCACACACGTTAGTTGAGTCTATCATCCCCCTATTCGCTATTCCGTTCAAAACTGATTTTCCATACAACATTTTTTGTTTGCACCGTAAAGTGCCATAATTCTTTGCAATTTTTTAATTTAAAAAAATTATAAATTATGACTTGAAAATGTTGAATGGCATTATTCACAATTGTGGCGCAGAATCATAGCACTTTACTACATAGTAAATCGTAAATCCGTTTCAAATGGAATACAGAATAGAGGTGTATTCAAGAAACTTCGCACATACGTTCGAAATGGTTCCGTTCTCGGAATTCCCTTCGCAGTTCTCGAGTAGATTTGGGCTGCGGTTCCAAACTCGACCTCCGGCACTTCCCTACCAGATAAACGACGGAATAGGTCGTGAACGATCCGAATAGAACTCCAATAAAAACTCCCACCAACATAACGGTGGCTATAAGGCGGCTGTTGTTCGACCTGATTTCCGCCTTCTGTTGGGTAGCACTTACGTACGTATAGTACAGTTCACTGAAGCGTTTTTGGCACTCGATGAAATTTTCGCACGTTTTGTGACTTTCCGCATCCTGTTCGGCGTTGTAAGCGCAGGACTTTTCCTTCAGCAGAGAAAGGTAGGACTCCGTGGTTGTCGGTCCCCAGACTTGGTCGATTGATACTTCCTCACGATCATGGTTGTCAAAGCGAGGGTCGAGTTCCATTTTCTCGAATTTTGCCTTAGTTTTGTATGGGTTGAGAACTGAAAGGTTTAGGAAAAGTGTTTTAATTGAGTGATTTAAATTTGCCTAGGAAACTTTTTAAGATCGATGTTAAAAAATAATTTTCACGATAAACACAATCAATCTTGAGGACAATTAGGTACCTAACTCAAAGAAAAATAATCTAAAAAATATATGATGAATCAACTTTTTCAAATGATTAAATACAGTCAACGATATTTTCTATAACTCGATGGATTCTATGGTTATTTTTGCATGCATCGTACTTTCCACAAGTCGATGCTTCCTTTGGTCGATGACCTATGAAGTGTTATTTTGATTCTATAACTCGATATTTCAACGGTAGAGCTTCTGAAATATGTGAAGGGGGAATTCAACTCTGCACACCTCTGTGCCAAGAGTTTTGGCAGTGCTGTGCCAAGCGTTGTGCCGATCATTCCGAAGTAGGCCGAAGTGTATAAATCAAGGTGTCAATATCCCATGAGTTTGGCAACCCTGAAGTTAGACTTTTGTGGTGTTTACATTTTCAAATTCGTGACCATGGTTTGGCAAATAGTAAGCTTCATTCTCAGTAATACAACCTATACGACCTGTCCACAAGACAACGAAATTTTCACCAGCTGCCAGTAAAATGCTCCCCGACAAAATCAAACCCAGAACTCGAACGACCGAAAGTTCACTCCTACCCTAGAAACAACATCATCGAAACAGTTCTGATCGACTCAGAACTATGCAACCTCGAAGACATCACCAAGCCTATCGTATCGCAGATTATGATGTCATCTATCATCACCCAATTACATAGGTTGAAGTATATCACGTTCACGATCCTTTGCAGCTGTGATACCTTCCACAAGGTACCACCAATCAGAACCAATGGCCAATGTACCACCAATGAAAACCATCAAATGTCCCCCCCCCCCCCTTCATATCTGTCATACCTCGGAAATTGTGCACGATCCGTGTGGTTGTTGTTGTTCATCTGCACGCCCATGGGATCTTGCCGAATAGCAAATTACTTAATTTCGTCATGCGTCATGCACTTTCGAGATTGAGCAAGGCCTTATAATTGATTGGGTCCTTTAGAGACGAACTAGTGCAACAGAAGAGTGCAGATTAGCTCGTTGATGATGGGGTGTTTCGCTACAAGGCAATCGTCCAGATCTGATGGAATATTTGTGGTTAATACGTATTGACGTATCGGGCCTCCCTTAGCTCAGTCGGTAAAGGCGCATCTATAAAGCAGAACCATGCTGGAGGTGACTGGGTTCGATTCCCGGTCCGGTCTAGGAATTTTTCGAGTTGGAAAATTTCTCGACTTCCCTGGGCATAGAGTATCATTGTGCTTGCCACACAATATACAAATTCATGCATTGGTATTGGCATCGAAAGCTCTAAATTAATAACTGTGGAAGTGCATCTAGAACTTGAAATGTTAAGAAGAAGAAGAAGACGTATTGACATCCCCCAATAAGTACTGGGACTTGTATGGACATCCTTATAAAGTCCTGTGGATTTTCCATCGAAGCCCACACCAATTGAAACCAAAGGAAAAACGTAGGAGAAAACGATAAAATTTTCATCCCGGAAGACCCTTGGCAAGACCGGGATTCAAACCTGGCCGAAATACAAAATCCATCACCCACACCCCCGCCTATGATGGGTTTTTTTTTCTTTATCGTTCGTTCTGCATAACAACCTTGTAAAACAAAACAAAATTTCCCGAAGCTGGCACAATATTGTCGTCGTTCAAATGATTGTTGTCCATTCAGTTTGTCGATTGCATTTGGCACCGTACCGTCGTATTGGACGATCTTACAGGCATTTGACCAACCGTTGCTGGAGGGAACCCATTTTGGCCATCTTGACCTTCGTATCAACCCTCTTGACCGACCATGGCGAAGAAGAACTCTGTTGGCGTGAAGCTGGACGAAAACAAGAGCCGCTGGAATTTTCGCTACGAATCGGATGAGCTAAACTTTGTTTCATCATGGTGAAGACAGGTGCAGGCAATACTCACATCATTTTTCCATGGAATCCGAATTCAATGTGAAGACCAATGCAGTAAACAAAGAAGTCAACCTTAGTAACGATTGGAAAAACGTCAACTCTCGACAGTGATGCCGTTTTATATTATGTTGATTGTATCCTACTTGTCAACGTTTGTCCTAAAGTGCCGAATAGTGTGCCATGCTGTGTTTCGGCACAGTGTGCAGAGTTGATTACCCCTTGGGTTGAAGCCAAAGTTGTTGGTTCTTTGGCTCGATAATCTGCCAATCAAAGACAGCTGATGCAAACATTGAGAAACTATACCATAGAGGTAATTCTAAGACCAGAAGGTCCCGAAGAAACGAGCTCAACTTTTTGGCTCAGCTCTGGTACCACAAACGAAGTTACAGACGACTTTCTCCGAAGAAATTAATTAAAATAATGTGGTTCTCTGTAATAGAATTCTAGTCCACCTTCCGCTCCTCACCGCCAGGTTCGCTAGTATTTTTGTTTTGAATTAATTCAAGTTGGTTTTGTGTGCAATGATCTGGCAACTCGCGTTCTCGCTCGCGTTGACGGGGAGCTGTTTTCTCACTCATCGAAGGAAATTTTGATTAGAGTGAGAAAGTAAGGAACAGTCAGCGCGGGAACCGTGTGCGTTACTATAGGTGCGGCAGAAGGAATGTAGTCGACACTTTCGTTCTCATGGTGTTCTTACGCATGATCCAACGTTTCGTCACACTAGATTATGCATAAGAACGTCGTGATAATGAAAGTGCTGACTTGTTTCCTTCTGCCTGACCAATCACATTGATCACAGCACTTGCGATTCTCCGTCGGTTTCAGGTTCATTATTTGTGTCATAGTGATTGCTGACGTTTATCGTACGCACACTACGTCACGTATACGTATACGCAAAATGTTTTCATCGGGAGAAAAAAAAATTTCATAGCGGAAAATTTTCCCGATGAAAACAAATCACTGACACAATCATACTTTAGCAATCTCTATACCACCAGTCCAAACACTAGAAGTTTTGGAAGGTTCTCCCTCAGTACCTGCAAGCAACGTGATACCAGCTGACATTCGCTTAATACGTGAAATCCGGAACATTTTCTCACTTTTGAGCATCAACGTCAACCCGGTTTCGAATCGCATTCCCACTGAGGTGGCACCGTTGGCAGTAATCTACTGCGCCGTGGGAAAGACCTGACTAGCGCTGGAAAATTCGCCGTCTAAGGAAGGTCGCCATTAAAATTAAATCAACCTAATTTTCTTCGCTGTAACGTACTCCGTATCAGACTCGCTGAGGGACCGTTTTCGTGGGACGGGTTTTGACCCAAAAAGCTTCAATTAGCTTTTCAAAAGATTTCTGTAAGGCGTCTTGGGACGCACGATTTCCTGTCCCACCGAGGCATCCGTTAGCGTGTCCGTGTCGGAACGGATGAACTCTTTGATCGACTGCAATTCTACCATCGATTTTCGGCACTGCTTTTTTGGTTAAATTCACACGATAGTTGAAATCGAACACGGTCGACGATCCGGCGGAGGATGCTTCGTCTTCATTGTCCGAAGAAATCAACGATTTGATACGACCGGTTTGGCTCGAAGCAATTTTTCGACGGAAATTCCTCGTGGCAGTGGAATCTTCTTGATCAGTTCCCCCAGACTGATTTCTTCGCCATTCGAAGAAACGAACGATCGAGGAAGAACTAGACGAAGACGTGGACAGCCGTCGCTTCGACGTTGGTTTCTTTCGTTTAGAAACCAGATCGGAATCACTGTCGTCACTGTCTTTTCTGAGATTTGTGTTTGGTCGTCGATGCAACTGACTCTTCACAATCTGAAACATCCGATTTAATATGACGTCTGCCACGAGATCAGCCCCTAGAACTCCCCTCTCTGCTACTGGCTTTCGCACGTCAAGCTGCTTCCGCTCTTCGGGAAGCCTCGGCTAGCTTCAAACAATCGGAAGACAAAAGGTGCAAACATAGTTCTTCGAGGGACCCAACAAACAATTTTAGCTGCAGACTAGCTTATACAGGCAAATATTAGCTGTATAAGCCAATTTTTGGCTGTATAAGCTAATCTGCAGCTAAATTTGTTAGTAACGGAACCTCCATGCACTGATCGTAGCGACAAGTCGAACCGCACGTTGCACACAGGATCATATCTCAACGCTTGCAATCGTAATCTCGCCCATACCGACAGCGACACGCTGGTGCATCTGCTGACTAAAGTCGTCCTTGTTGCACAAAGGGCACTTGAAAAAGTACCCCGCCGATTGGGCAAACTGTGCCATGCAGCTCCGATGGAACCAGACATTCTGACAGCACGAATCGATTCCAGCTTCCTGTACGGTCCCATCTCATCGTAGCAAATCCCACAGGCTTCGGTCCCGGATTATTTCACCTTACCCACCAGCGCTACGTGCTTATCGCACCACGACTTAAACTGGAACGTATCCACGTAATGCGACAGGCACTCATTCTGCATCCCACAAAGCGTCTGAAATGGAAGGACGGAAGCACTTCTTCGTGCAACACAAAACGTTCGCATACCGTTCCTTGGGGCCCATGCATTAATTATGTCACGCTAAATCGAATAGAAATTTACCCCCCCCCCCCCTATCGTGACGTTTTTCCTATACCTAATGCATTGCTTGTCACAAAATATTAGACCCCCCCCCCTAGAGCGTTACTTAATATATGCATCAACCCTTGCAGATGTAACACTTTTGTCCTCGCATACGAGCTTCCTCATTTCTGATGTCCTCCTCCATGAATCCGAAGATTCCCTCCTCGTCTTCAGGTAACAAGGTACACGTAGCAGGTATAATGACTAGTTTTACCACGTATAGTAGACCAGTCCAGAATAGTGCATCGTACCGCAATCATGCTCAAACGGTTGACATACAGCATCTCTAGCCGTAATAAATTAAAAAAAAAATCGGTTTCATCCGATCCTCCTTCATTCTCACCTCCAGCCGATCGCCTCTTTGATTCGATGGATCTCGGCATGATTTTGGAGT